ATTTCTCACTGAACAACTAGGTTACTTTTAAAGAACGACTGTTAAATGGAAATTGTACATTTAATTAGCAAAATTTATGGTGGTTTATGCTAGTGACTGCAACAGGTAGGTGTAAAGTAACAGCTATTCGTACAGCTAATGGTCTGAGTAACTCAAGACCGGTGCAAAAACGCATGATCGCACGGGCCAGCCCGGTGCGTTCCAGCCTGGGTTTGAAAATGACCCAGCTGTTCAATGAGCAATTTTCCTGTCGAAAATTTAAGTGCCCGTACGCGAGAACCACGCGTAGCCGAAGGCTGAATTTGAAACGTGTAAGTTATATTTGGATGGAGGATATTCTCCTAAAATCTTGGCTTTCCAGCTTTCCTGGTTCTTGAGTTAGCAATTTTCTCGACAAAAATTTTCACAGAGTCGTACGTGGGAACCACGCATGCCTAGTGACTGAATTTGATAATTTTAAGTTGTGCATAGGCAGGGAAATTCCCCTGAAAATTTCAGCCTCCTAGCTTCCCTGATTTCCGAGTTAGCGATTTTCGTGCCAGGAACCCTCACAGAGCCGTATAGGAGAACCATGCACGACTGGGAGCGGAATTTGAAATTTTTAAGTCCAATTTGGACGGGGAATATAACCTCAAAATTTCAGCCTTTTAGTTTTTCTCGTTCCCGAGTTAGCAATTTTCCCACCAAAACTTTCACGCGCTTGCACTCGGGTCCCCGACCTGCGCGAGGGTTGGTACCACAGTCCTGGGGTAACACTTGATCGGGGAACCAACTGAAAAAATTTTGGCCGAGTTGGCTGGAGCTTGCTTGATTGACAAGTTGAAATACACTAACAAACGAACACGCACACACATACACACACACACATACACACACACACACATAAACATGCACACACAGACGGAGTCGTTGCAATATGCGTTTTTGTAATTTGCATATAAGCAAAAATGCATAAAAAGCGTGATAGAATATGCGCTGTGTTGTGCATCACTTTCTGTTGCATTTGTGTAAAAACTAACGAAATCGGCGAAGCTGGTTTATGCAAATTTAACAGTTTCTATAACATTTCTGTTACATTTAAACGTATGTAAAAAGAGGAATCGTTCGAAATTACATTTCTTAAAACACTCGCACCGCAAACTGGCGTCACTAGCACCTTCTCAGTTCGGCTCTTAAGCAAAATCTTGGAAAAGGCAACGCAGACAGTTCCGCCACTGGGTGCCTGCTACTGGCAAATTCTCTGTAACGTGAACTGCAGGTAGGTTTTTGCATTTGACGAATGAAATATGGTGAGCTACAGAAGTGGCGATAAAGGTAGGAGAATGAAGGGGACATAAGTGTGTGCTTAGGCTTCTTCATCTGGCCGCACACCCAACAAAACCCACAACCACAACTTCCGTGAATACCACATACGTGAGCTTCACTTCTCACCTTTCACCGCAGACGGCAGAAGTATATTCATGCTTCTATTAGCAACACATGTAGGAATTTCACAAATAGCTTAAATGGTGGTCTTTTCAGCGTAATTCGGGATACGCGGTTATCGTAGCAAGACAGGGTCTGAGATGACTTGGATTATTTGGCTTCATTAATTCCTCCAAGCCAGGGCTTTTCAGAATGGTTCAAAAAATC